CCACAGGCGCCGAGCCCATTTAACCTTTTTGAGCCTCAGTTTCTTCATCTGTAAATGGAGGAAATGATGCTGACCACATAGGCTGAGTTAGAAAGGTACATGTGTCAATCCCGGGGCTCCTAACTGGCATTTAACAAATAGGAATGACATGTGTCCAGGCCCAGCCCCCACCATCCCCTGCACAGGTAGGTGTCTTCCCCATGGCCAGGTTCCTGGATTCCTTGTTTTAGACTACAGCTGGTCTTCCTTAAAATGCCTGGGCACCCCTGCTCTCATTATGGACTGCCCTCTGCACCCAAAAGCCAGAAGCTGTGGAACCAAGGCCGGCACTACACAGGCCTTCTGCCATGTTGGCCGAATGACTGCACGAGTGAGCAGATGAATGAATCTGCCACTGAAAGGTCTTTTTTCCCTGGCTAGAGAGGTGACCAGGAGAAGAAAGTCACTTGAATGTGGAGATGGGGGTTTCCTGGGTCTCTGGGGAGGGCATGAGGGACATGACCTACACATGTACCTGCAGAACCCTCTATATGTCCCTGCAGGCCCCTCCGGCTCTCTCCCTGCCACCCCCATCCCAGCAGGATCCACGCCTACCGTGCAGGTCACACCTCAGCTGGAGACAAAGAGCATTGGAGCCAGTGTTGAGTTCCACTGTGCTGTGCCCAGTGACCCGGGCACCCAGCTCCGTTGGTTCAAGGAAGGGGGTCAGCTGCCTCTTGGCCACAGTGTGCAGGATGGGGTCCTCCGGTGAGTGGAGCAGGGGCAGGACTGGACTTGGGTACCACGGCCTGAGGCTCACATTGGGGCTGAGTTAAAATACCTGCTCTAGGGGCTCGGCATGAAGCATTGTCCTTGGGCAAGTCGCTTTACCTCTCTGAGCCTCAGTTTTCTCACCTGTATGATGGGTTATATAAGGGTAAATGAGATCTGAAGCACTTACACAGTGCTTGATGCATGGAAGGCCCTTAGTAAACAGCAGCCCACATTTATATTATTATTGGAGGGAAAAGAGAACAGGCTTTGGGGTCAGATAGATACAAATGACCCTGGATCTCAGCTTTGCTACTTATGACAGTGCAATCTTGAGCTCTAGACCATAAGATCTTTGTCTGAAGTAGGTGTGTTGCCCCCTACCCAGCCTACCTGCCTTGCGTGGTTATTGGAAGACTAGAAGTTGACATTGTGTGCTGATCTATGTCAGCTTTTAAATACCACAATTGCAAAGCAAAGCATTCTCATCAATTGTTTTCACTCTTTGATGTCTTTTTTTTTTTTTTTTTCATTATAGAATCCAGAACTTAGACCAGAGCTGCCAGGGGACATACATTTGCCAGGCCCATGGACCTTGGGGACAGGCCCAGGCCAGCACCCAGCTGGTCGTCCAAGGTAGGAGGGTGGCTTCGGTCCTATCCTGAGAGCAGGGGACAAGATGAGAAAGGGAGAGGGATGCTGGACTCAGACCATGTTCCCCAGGAAGTCCCCCAGATGTGTCAGAATAAAGAGAATTATTCCATTTTACTTTGTGTGTATCTAGCATAGAGTAAGAAGGCTTGTAGACTATCATAAGGGAGAGAAGGAGATAGGTGGAATGAGTGAATGCTCATTCCACAAACTAATGAAGAATAAATCAGTGTGAGCCAAGCACTGTGGTCCCAGCTACTTGGGAGGCCAAGGCAGGATGATCGCTTGAGCCTAGGAGCTTGAGGTCACAGTGTGCTATGATCACACCTGTGACTAGCCACTGCACTCTAGCTTGGGCAACACAGGAAGGCCCTGTCTCTTAAAAAAAATAAATAAATGAATGAGTGGACCCATGGGTGAGTAAATTGCATGGGTGTGTTTGTGTGTGATGGATGAAAAGTGAATGATGAAATGGCTCAATGCCCAGGGCTCCAGAACTCACCTTTTCCTGGGCAGCCTGTGGCGTCCCTTGGGCCAGGCCTGCAATGGCTGATCTCACTAGCCCCCTACCTCCCTCCTCCCCAGCCCTGCCCTCGGTGCTCATCAACATCCGGACCTCAGTGCAGACTGTGGTGGTTGGCCATGCTGTGGAGTTCGAGTGCCTGGCACTGGGTGACCCCAAGCCTCAGGTGACATGGAGCAAAGTCGGAGGGCGCCTGCGGCCTGGCATCGTGCAGAGCGGAGGCATCGTCAGGATCGCCCACGTGGAGCTGGCCGATGCAGGACAGTACCGCTGCACGGCCACCAATGCTGCCGGCACCACCCAATCCCATGTGCTGCTGCTCGTGCAAGGTGAAGGCCAGCAGGGACCTTTGCTGGGGGGCCGGAGATGGAGGCAGGGGCTTCTCCTGCTTTCTTTTTCCTTTCCACTCTCTTGGGAGATTTTCTGTTGTGTGTATTTAATAGGCAAATTTCATTACAAGTGGTGGTACCACCAGGAGGTAAAACATGAGTGTCCCCCAGGGCAGGCTGGAACTTACAGGGAAGGAGCTATTCCATAGGACATTAAGAGGGAACAAGAAACGTGGTCCTCCCCTCCAGAGTGCCTGCACTGATGGGCGAGACCTGCAGCCCAGTCTGATACACACAAAGCGGACATAATAGAGTAACCGAAGGACAGTAGATGCAGGACAGGCACAAATACTATGTTTTCTTTAAGGCAATTCTTTTTTGCCCCAAGCCTATGACTTGTCCCCAAACCTACTCCCCCATACTGTCCTAGTACCTCCTTTCAGTCCCCAAAGGGTGTGCTGAAGAGGTCTCAGGGCTGCAGAGTCAAATAGATCTGACCCTAAACCCTGCCTCTGCCATCTGTGCCACCAGGAGTGAGCAGCTGCTTCTCCCCTCTAAGCCACAATTTCTCCATCTGTAAAACGGGACGTAGTATCTCCCTTCAAAAGGTAGTATGAGGATTAAATGAGTCAGGGCACAGGCTGGGCACAAAGAGGGCAGCTGTCATCATGTTGGTGGCCTGTGTCTCTTTCCCACCTCTCAGCCTTGCCCCAGATCTCCATGCCCCCAGAGGTCCGTGTGCCAGCTGGTTCTGCAGCTGTCTTCCCCTGCATGGCCTCGGGCTACCCCACTCCTGAAATCACGTGGAGCAAGGTAAATGCTGGGCAGGGGACCAACTGGTCTGCCTGGGGGGCGGGACTAGAACCAAGCCATGTCAGCATCCCTAGGACTTGGCACAGGCTTTGCAAAGAGGAAATGTGCTCAGCATTTGAAGGGTAGGGGCCTGAGGCAGAGGTGGGGGTAAGGCCCCATGGAGGTGTGTGTCAAGGGTCAGGGGCTACCACGAGTCCTCAGTGCTGGTATGTTTGCAGCTGGAAGGCGACCTGCCACCTGACAGCCACCTGGAGAACAACATGCTGATGCTGCCCTCCGTCCGTCCCCAGGATGCAGGCACCTATGTCTGCACCGCCACTAACCGCCAGGGCAAGGTCAAAGCCTTTGCCCATCTGCACGTGCCAGGTAAGACGACCCTCCCACACCCCGGGAACTGGCAGTTGCCTGCCCGATCCCTGGCAGGCATCATCTCCAGCTGTGTTCTCTGCTGGCAGAGCGGGTGGTACCCTACTTCACCCAGACACCCCACTCCTTCCTGCCGTTACCCACCATCAAGGACGCCTATAGGAAGTTTGAGATTAAGATCACCTTCCGGCCTGACTCAGCCGATGGTGAGCAGGAGAGTTTGATTGGGGGTGCCTGCCGGGGTGGGGGATTTTGTGGAGTAACTGACATCCTGGCATGAACCTTGGCCACACCTCAGCCTTGCCCACTCACTTGGCCTTCTCTATCCAGAAGTCCCCAAGCCTTGGGGCCTCTGCCCCAGGGCCCTTTCTTATGCCTCTGCTCCTCCGTCCCCGCCTCTGCGATGTCTGATCTCTTAGCACCTCACAGCCAGTCCTCCCATCCCACCTTCCTCACTCATCTCTGCATCTTCTTCCTCCCTCCTTTTCCTCCCGCATCTCACCCCTTCCTCCTCTCTCTCTCTCATCTCTCTGGGTCTCTGACTCTCACTGTCCAGGCCTCCTCCTCTACTCGGGTGAGTCTCTGCCTGCCCCCTCCTTGAGGGAGGAGGCCCCCCCCCCCATGCATGTGAAGCCCATTCACAACCAGACCCTTCTGTTCAGGCCTAGGCCGAGGCAGTGAGAGGCCCGGCTGTGTGAGGTGTGGCAGCGGGAGGGACAGCTGCTGAGCCTGGACACGCTGAAGAGTGTGGCTCACTCCCAGGGTTGGGGTGGACAGGGAGCCCAGGGCTGGACAGTTCCTCACACAGCTGTACCCCCAGGGATGCTACTGTACAATGGGCAGAAGCGGATCCCCGGGAGCCCCGCTAACCTGGCCAACAGGCAGCCTGACTTCATCTCGTTCGGCCTTGTGGGTGGGAGGCCCGAGTTCCGGTGAGACCCTCGGCCTCCCCCTTTACTGGGGGTTTGGGCACAGGCCATACTGCCTGGGCTGCTTTATACAGAGGAGACCCTGGAGGGAGGAGGAGCTATGGTCGTCTCCCTTGGTGATCACCTGATCTGCTAGAAGAGGGACAATGTGTGCCAGTCGGGGCACAGGGAGTAGCCTCAGACTTGGGACTGCTGCAGGCCAGATTACTTCATTCCTTCCTTCCTTCAACAGTTACTAGCTGAACAGCTACTGTATGCCAGGTGCTGATACAGGCATAAACATAACAGATCAAATTCTAGCCCTTGTGGGAATGTATATTCTAGTTGGGAAAAACAAGCCAACAAAAAGGAAGAAAGAAGGCGATCTCAGACAAAGAGTAATCAGAGGAACATGAGCCAGGTGCTAGGTCACAGGGCCCTGGAGCCTGGGGTCAGTGGAAGCCCCATGGGGATTCTGAAAAAGCTCCCAGGGAAAGGATGTGGGGAGAGAAGACCCAGCCATGGACAGAACAAGTGGAGAGGGAGGTTGTAGGGGGAAGGTAAGGCAGGGACAGGAATTGGGGCATCCCTGGGCTCAGACTCAGGAGGTAGTGACATCCCTCCTCTGATGCTCCTCTGCCCAGCTGGGCCACAGTCCTCCTTACAAACCCCATATCGGCTCTCTCCTGTCTGGGCCCACCCCATGGAGCAGGTTCGATGCAGGCTCTGGCATGGCCACCATCCGTCACCCGACACCGCTGGCCCTGGGCCAGTTCCACACTGTGACCCTCCTGCGCAGCCTCACCCAGGGCTCCCTGATTGTGGGCAGCCTGGCCCCAGTCAACGGGACCTCCCAGGTGAGACCCGACCCTATCTGCCATCCCCCGGTCCCATCCCACCCCTGCTCAGCCTCTGTCACCATTCCTGACTTCCTCCCTCCCCAGGGCAAGTTCCAGGGCCTGGACCTGAATGAGGAGCTCTACCTGGGTGGCTACCCCGACTACAGCGCCATCCCCAAGGCGGGACTGAGCAGCGGCTTCATAGGTATGCCCCACCCCAGACCTCCAGCCAGGACACGCCTCACCTTGCTGGCAGGCAGAGCTCTCAGGAGCCTGGGAGGGCCGCTGTAGGGTTGGGCTTGGGTGGGCAAGCGCCCGGCATCCTGCCCCTTTCTCACCCCATCTGCCCACCCCAGGCTGCGTCCGCGAGCTGCGCATCCAGGGCGAGGAGATCGTCTTCCACGACCTCAACCTCACGGCACATGGAATCTCCCACTGCCCCACATGTCGGGACCGGCCCTGCCAGGTGACCCCCACACC